TTTTCACAGTTCAGGTGACACCCTGTAGCGATTTTATATGAAGAACCTCATGTTTTAAAGGAGTACGAGATTATAGCTGAAGGACTGAGCTAGCGAACAGTGTGATCTGAATTCAAATTTTTCAAAACAGAAAAAAGTTATTCATATTTTAACAGGGACAAAATTTTAGGGTGCGACGAAATTAATGAAGCGTAGTTTATCTCGAAATAGTTAAAGTTTTCACTGTTCGGCAATTTTAACCAAATAAAACATCTCATTTATCCTGAAACATTAATTGAAGAAAGAGAGAAGAGTTCTCTCTTTTATTTTTCGATCTTTCCCTTCCGTGCTATACCAACGTTGAAATGATGAAGAGATCCGATAATTCTTTCATTGTCTAACATATAGCCTGTTCCACCGAACTATTTTCGTTGCCTATAATCAATGAAACGTCTCATTGATAGCATCTTGCTAAATTCGTCATGCGCATGAATCGAAGAAACCATCAATCTGTTGCAAAATTTTGAAAATCCCTAACACTGTTGTTATCAACCAACCAACTTTATTATTCCCCGTACCTCGTAATTCTACAAAAAAAAAACAACATCGTGTTGTTATGGAATAGTTAACGGCTACCGGCCGTTAAACTATCTTAACGAACGTAGACATTAACTTTTCAATTGTCATCTGTGAATACCGTATGAAATCTACATAACAGTATGGGATTACGAAAAATATACAGGGTGAGTCATAACTATTGGGACATAGGCTAAGAACGTATTGTTTGGACCAAAATATGGCGATTGGACGAAACATGTCTTAATAAAATATTGCTGTGAAAAGAGATACAGGGCGTTAAAGTTGATTTCTTTCGTTTTTTGTCGGTTTTTTGCTAATAATTTCACTGTATATGAAATATATTTGAAAAAGTTTCGTGATTTGGTTGCTTTCTGCCTAAATATTGGAGATACTACGATTCATACCTTCTGGCTGCATCGGGCATTTATTCATTCATAAAATGATTGTGACGAGACATTTCAATCGAAAAAAATTTGACTATAAACTCGCACCAAAATCCATTCTCTGACAAAAAATGCCATAACCAGCAACATTATCTGACAGTTCAAAGCACACTCTTCATGAATTGAATAATATTTGTAATCAACTTCTGAGACTCTGAACTGTTCAATAGCGTTTTTCTCGAAAACGGATGAAAATATCGTGTTCAAACAAGAGTACCAATATTGCGTATAAATGATGTTCAGGTCATATTTTTTAATCAAAATCACTCGAAAGTTTCGTCAAAAAAAGTCACCAGGCAATTTTTTCATCAGGGATCATTCACGTGGCGCCCCTGTATCAAAATGTAGAATAGTACATAAAATAATATTCCCTGTATGGAATTATGCCTCTGTGCCAATTTTGATAACAATTGATGAATATACAGTGAAATTATTGGCAAAAAACGAACGCCCTGTATCTTTTTCCACAGCAATATTGTAATGACTGATATTGGCTTAAAGGTTGGCTTATAAAACTGTAGCTTATAATGTCTAATATAAAGACTATATTTTTTAACGATTATTATATTAATCGAAAATTAACAACTGAACTATTGATTCAACTCCTCGTTAACAACATATTCTGTATACAGGGTAAACTGATATACAGGATGTAAAATAAACTATCCAACATTCTCCCCCTCGTATGATTACTGAATCATACAGGATCTTCGTCATTAGCAATCTTCAGTCTGCATAACTTCGCTACAGGCCTCTTGTAGATAGTGTTGTTGATTTTCACATCAACAACCCTGGTTTGTCCGTCTCTTCCGGGATATAATTTGGTTACGATGCCCATGTGCCATGTGTTTCGTGGTGCGTTATTATCGACGACCAGAACTAGTTCACCCAATTTAATTGGTTCAACATTTGAATCATACCCATTTCGTCCTTTTCGTTAATTCTGGTAAATATTCTTGCACCCACCTCTTCCAAAACATATTTGTTAATTGTTGAGCAACTCTCCATTGTCTTTGCAATGACACATGTTTTTCTTCAAATACTCCTGGCGACTCTGTCCGATTATTTGTCCCTATTAAAAAATGGTTCGGTGTTAAGCACTCCATGTCTTTAGGATCCAAAGATACATGAGTTAATGGTCTCGAGTTTACGATATTTTCGGCTTCTACTAATAAAGTTTTCAATATTTCTTCTTTTGGTGCTCTCTCTGTTAAAACTGCATGCAAAGAAGTTTTTATAGATCTGACCAATCGCTCCCAGCTGCCGCCCATGTGTGGTGAAGCTGGTGGTATGAAATGCCATGTGATATGTCTATTAGTTAGTGCTTCGCCTATTTTTGTATCATCCAACTCCTTCAATGCTTGCTTCAACTCTTTCTCGGCTGCTTTAAGGTTAGTACCATTATCCGAATAAATGTGCATTGGTTTGCCTCGCCTGGAAATCATTCGCCTTATCGCAAGAATAGCTGAATTAGTGTCCAAACTATTTGCTAGCTCGATATGTACTGCTCTAGTTGTCAAACAAGTGAAGAGTACACCATAGCGTTTTTCTCGCTTTCTTCCCACGGTCACTTCAAGGGGCCCAAAATAGTCCATTCCAGTGTATGTGAATGGTAGTTCGTATGCTGCTAACCTACACTTTGGTAACTCACTCATGATGGGAATTTCTGGTTTTGTTTTGTTCTTCTTGCATACAATACATTGTTTTGCAATTTTTCTGACTATTCCTCGTAAATTTAAAATCCAAAACTTCTGACGTATCTGGTTTATTATGTAATCCTGTCCTAAATGGTTATTGTTTTCATGAAAATGTTTCACCAAAAGATTTGTGAATGATGTTCTTGAGTCCAAAACTATGGGATTCTTCATATCTTCATCAGCAACCTCTGCTAAACTAATCCTTCCCTGCATTCTTATTATTCCATAATTATCCATGAAAGGGGTTAGCTGATAGATTCGACTTGATTTTTCTACACATTTTCCACGTCCCAAATTCTTTATTTCTTCATGAAAGCTATTCCTTTGGATATCCTTATACCATAAGACCTCTGCTTTCTTTATATGTTCTGGTAAAAGATATTCAGAATTGCCCTTTTTACGTAATTTTTCGATAAAAAACAGGATGTATGCGGTGGCTCGTATCAATCTTGTCCAATTAGAAAATCTTGATACATCAGGGAGACCTGTGTTTTTCTCTATAGTGAGTGTTACCCATTCCTTGCGAATTTCCAATTCTTTTTCCATTTTCTTGATTTCCGGTATATAGGATTCTTCTTTTGGCCATTCTTCTTCAGGAAGCTTTAAAAATGGTGGTCCTTGGAACCATCTACATTCAGTGCCTACTTTTGGCTCAACTGACCATTTCGTACCTTCATCAGCAATGTTTTCCTTGCTGCTTATCCATCTCCAATTTTCTATATTTGTATTAGTCTGTATTTCTGCGACTCTATGTGAGATATATTGTTTGAATCTTCCTGCATCACTTCTTAGCCAATACAAGACCGTCTTTGAGTCAGACCAGTAATATTTTCTGTAGAAATCTATTCGTGAATTGTTTTCGATGAATTTTGAAATGTTACTTGCGAGCACGGCTGCTTGTAATTCTAACCTTGGTATGGATAGAGGTTTAAGAGGGGCTACTCTAGTTTTAGCCATCATCAAAGCTATATCAACTTTTCCTTCATTTTCTATCCTCAGGTAGGCAATTGCACAGTAGGCTCGTTCACTCGCATCGCAAAATATATGAAGTTGGACAGATGATTGTTTATAAAAAATCTGCGAAAATTGTCTTGGTATTCGCAAACTTTCAATTTTGAGGATTGTTCTTCTCCATTTTTCCCATTTAGCTTGAAAATCTACAGGTAACTTTTCGTCCCAACCCATTTTTTTCTTCCATAAATCTTGCATAAGGATTTTAGCATAAATAAGAATGTTAGCCGCGAAACCAAGAGGATCGAAAATCGACATTACGATCTTCAAGAGTTGCCTTTTAGTTGGTAAACATTTTCCTTCCATTATATCTGTACTCACTGTATGAAATTTCAGTTTGAAACAAAAATCGTCATGATTTGGGTTCCAATGTAGACCTAGCACTCTTTCATATGCTGGTTCTAGTTCTAGATTTGAAGTCTTACTTTCATCTGATGTAAGTTCTGTTGGAATACTATCTAGGACTTGTTTTGAGTTGCAGTTCCAATTGCATATAGTGAAACCTCCTCTTCTATGGATTTCAATGACATTCTTTATTTTTTCAACTGCTTCATCTATATTATCACAACTGTCGAGGTAGTCATCCATGTAATGGTAGTTCATTATGGCATCAGCTGCTTCTGGAAATTCCTCTTGAAACTCCTGGGCATTTCGATTTCTCACCGTTTGAGCAGAGCTTGGAGAACATACAGCTCCAAAAAGCATGACGACCATTTGATATTCTTCTGGCTCCATATCTCTTGCTCGAAGGACCAAATATAATGACTGATATTGGCTTAAAGGTTGGCTTATAAAACTGTAGCTTATAATGTCTAATATAAAGACTATATTTTTTAACGATTATTATATTAATCGAAAATTAACAACTGAACTATTGATTCAACTCCTCGTTAACAACATATTCTGTATACAGGGTAAACTGATATACAGGATGTAAAATAAACCATCCAACAAATATTCTATAAAGGCATATTTAATCCTATCGCCATATTTTGGTCCAAACAATCCGCCCTTAGCCTATGTCCCAATAGTTATGACTCACCCTGTATATAACGGACATGGACATATTTATATGACCTCTCTATATTTTAATACGGTTGCGTTGGTAACACTGAAGAGAAAGATAGAAGAGGAAAGAACTTTCCTCTCGTCCACGTTAGTAAAGAGTTCAATTATCTACTCTGAAATACCTTTCAAACCAGACATAATCAGAATAAATTCTCAGATGTTCTCTCATCCTCTATTTCCCCAATACGTTGACGTCTTTTCATCAATCTATATTCAGTTATCATTAAATTCGCTGGATCTCGAATAATTTAACGTCCGTATCGTACCAGACAGGAGGATCGACATTCCTGCAAGACAAAACAAATTATTCTTTTTTTTTTTTTTTTCAAAGGATACTAAGATTAATAGGGGGAAACTGGCGAAGATTGTATCACCCACCTCAAATAAATGACTCCCCACATGTAGGTCCTGAACCAGGTCGTGGTACCGGAATTGGCTTGGTACTTTCTGATCAGAATGGGATGTGGTACCGGTAAGAGGCCAACTAATGTGCCGTGTTGCAAGAACTTCAAAATTTCACTTTCGTCAGTCAAACCTCTAAAATAATGTTGAAAATTGAATTTTTTTGGTTCAGCGAAGATAAATAATTGGGTAAATCGGGATAAATCTAAACCCTCACCAAAATAATAAAAAAACTATTTTCGGGAGCTGCGTGATGTATTTTGACGCAACGTACTTGAGATTCTTTGCTAACATAGCTATCAAGCCCACCAGATTAAAAACAATTTTTTTCTGTGACGGGAAAAAAGTTTGGCATTTCATCTCTGTTAGCAGGTTATAAAATGTCACTTTTCATTTACTTTCATTCATTCATTTCAATTACTTTTTTCCCGTGGGAAAAAAGTGAGTACTTCTTTCCCGGATATATATCACATATATAAACACTGTTGATGGCTTTCGTTGTGCTATAGTTCCGAAAAATGAGTCAATAATACCGTCAAATCACAGAATTAGACTGACAGAAGTGACATCAGATATTTGATTACTTCAAATGATTGATAAAGATGCCTACAACGCGGTGTCCCTACTGTTAAAAACTTAAAATTTCACGTCGATAATTTTCAGATTCCAAAATAATGTAATAACTTCTCAATATTGATTCTTCCTTTCTTCTGTCACAGAAAAAAATAGTGTATTATACACGGGAAAAATATTAGATTTTAGCTCACGGTTTGTTGTCTGGAGCTAAAATCTACTACTTTTTTCCCTTGTATAATAAATAACTAAAATGTTCATTGCAAGAGATTGAAAAAGCGTTTTTTATACCGGAATCTGTTTCTGACTGAAAGCTTTATTTCCAATGAAATTTCAGCGAACGTTTTCCAAAACCTTCCTGATTCAGCATTATCGGTTCTTGTAATGCTCATAAATGAATCATTCCGATGTGGAGAATTTCCGGCTTTCCTTAAACAATCTCTAGTGATTCCTATTCATAAGAGCGGGGATTCATAAGATCCAAACAACTACCGACTCATTGCTCTAATAGTAACGTTAGCGGAAATATTTGAAAAACTGGTTGAAAACAGAGTGTTGGACTACTTGAGAAGAAAAAATATATTGACAGGTTCGGATTCCAGCCAAAGAAAGAGCACGAATGATGCCCTGTTTTCTTTTATGAATCAGGTGTAATCTGGTCTCAACCAAAGAGCAGCAGCTGCGACAGTATTTTGTGATTTCTCCAAAGCTTTTGACTGCGTGAATCACGAAATATTGCCGCGGAAGCTGCAGCGATATGGTTTCATGAATAGAAGTCTGCACGGGTTCGAGACTTATCTTATCAATCGACAACAATCGATTAAAACTAGCAGCGTCTCAAAGGCCTCAAACATAAAGCATGGAGTGCCAAGGCTCAGTCCTTCTATACGTGAACGATATGGCTTCTCTAAATATAAACGGTACAATCACATTATTTGCTTATGACATCCATTCTTTGGCAAGAAGAGGATAGCTGTATGTTAGGATCAAATATAATACAGGATATAGAGATAATCAAAGATTGGTGTGAATCAAACCTCCTATCTCTAAATATTAAGAAAACCAACATCCTGACTTTCCATTGCAATATTCCTAACTTGAATATTGGATGTGAGGTAATAGAAAATAAATTGTCAACTAGGTTTCTAGGCTTATTCATAGATAATAATAGAATTGGGGGGCCTGCAGTGATCATTTATTCCAGAAGAGTTCTGTTCTGCAGAAACGAGCCCTCAGATATATAGGCCAAGCGGAAGCTAGAGATAGCTGTTGAGACTTATTAAAAAATTATAATATTTTAACTGTGGTTTGCTTACACATTACAAACAGCATCTCTAATTCAAAAAAACAACTTGTTCCGGCACAATACAAGGCATGGAATTTAATTGGAATAAATACAGGGTGCTTCAAGATTCAGAATTCTGATCACCCTGTATCTGTTCCAATTATATGTCAGTAGATAGTGAATCGAAAGTTAAGATAGGGAAATGTGAGCCGTTTTGATCGATAATGAATAGTTTCGACACAAGAAAATTCTCGATTTTGAACACCCTATATCTCTGTAATAATTCCTGCTAGGCCCCATACATTGATGGAATGACCTCTTCAGGAAGAATCTAAGAATGCAATGAAATACAGGGTGCTCCATTTAAAATAACGAAGTTGTTAGTTGTTCCTGATAGAAGTGGCAATACTGTATCGATGAAAATCCCAATTTTCATAATGTTCTGTCTCTTCGTTCTCCAGAAACTTCTAATAGGCCATCCACCGTGGATCACCCTGTATTTGTCATGAATTTCCATCAAGTAAAAAAAAACATTGTGTAAATGTAAATAGGTATATCCCAACTTACTTGTCGATACAGATTTTTTCGACTTGCGGTACGAGAACTTGCAACAGCCTCATGATCGTCTGCAACGGCAATTTGCTTTTCCACGAATGCACCCATTCACCCGTCGGCACCCACTGACCACCATGATTGTCATTGGGAGTACTGACTCTTAGACTGTTCCGCTAAAAAAGTGTACATTTGAAGGTAAACCCACAGAACTAGATTCAAGTTGAACAGATTTGTTCCAATTGTCAGCAAGAGCGAGATTGTGCTGTTTCGGTCCACCAAGCCTCATCATTCGCTCTCTGCATGCAAACAACTGAGACAATTTACCACTACAGGTATATCACAACAATGGATGAGGTCTATTATGCTATTCAAAGAACCTTTATCAAAAAATTGGAGAAACGTACACAGTGACACGATTTTGTATTCTTAATACCTGTTATGACTGTGGATTGAACATAACATATTTTGTGCTGCACGGTATTCGATTATTCACAATTTGCCATATTTTATATGCTCAAGATGTTCCTTGAACCTAGCTTCAACGTGACTCCTAGCTTGATCTACATATGTTTTACCAAAGTTATGCTACGCATTTTCCATTACACGATAACTATCATTTCATCATTTGGTGAAAAACATACTTACAGTTCTCACAGTTCTACTGAACGATGCCTCCGAATGAGTGGGACTCTTCGAGCTACTGGACTGAACAATTTCTTTTCCCGATTCCTAAAACAGTGATTTCAATATGAAAGCATTAGTAATCATTTTCTGAATTAATTATGAATTATGACTGAATACGAAAATATACCCGGAAGATCACCAGATGGATCTACGGTCCTTTTGAAAAATCACATAAATTTTTCTGTAAATGTATGGTTCTGGGTAGTCGCAAATCAAGTGTAGCAGGTAGAGCAAACACAAACCATTGTCGATCTAAATGAAAACCTAGTACGCGACCTAGTGCGAGGAGGTATAATATTGTTTGTTCAGTGAATCGGAATATGTCTGTCTGTCAAGTGGCGCTGGGGACAAGAATGTGGAAAGAGCTCATTTGTTTATGTCAAAATAGACTATATTAGGTTGACATTCTCTTCTTTTATTTTTCTCCAATATGTACTCAACCACAGACGTGCTTGCCATCATTGACGTGATATTTGATACGAAGGCGATGAAGAAGAAGATTCTTTCATGAGATTGAGATGTCCTAATTATACCTTATTATTTCTTCTAGTATTGGTTTTCTATCAAAGTTTGTTGATTGGTTTGTAAGTGCCATTGTGTTATTTTGCAATGTCATCTGAAAACTTCGCACTCCTGCCTACTAACTAGATAGATAGATAGATAGATCATTTATTGTATCAAAGAATTATAATTCTTATTACAAGGGTTGGAGTTCGAGTTGAGAAACGGAAAAATTATATCAATCTGTTTCCATAATACTATATCTCAAAATTCTAAAAATAAGAGGGAGAAAAAAAACTGTATACATATATGCTGATGAGTTCAAGAACCAATAAAGTGTGAGTAGTGTACAAAAAAAAGGAAAGAAAATTCGAATAACAATTTCTATATTTATCCCTACGTTTATTCGTTGATAATGAATGACCTGAGTTTCAAAATGCTCATCACTGAGTGGACCAAGGTTTTGAGATGTAAAAGTGTTCCGTAGCTCAAAAGCCGAGTGATATCTTCTATATTATTCAGATGCTCAAAAAGTTCATTTTTCCGTAAGCCTCTATAAATTGGACATACCAACAAGACATGTTCAAGTGGTTCGATTTCATGTAGATTACAAATTGAACATGTTGCTTCACTGTCGATTGAGTAAACTAGGCCGTTGAAGGTTAATCTGAGGATTTTTTTTCCGCAAGTTCGTAATTGAGTGATCAGTCTCACAATATAGATAGATAGATAGTTTATTCACCACTTTACGTACTGATGTACATTTGTAGCATGTCATATGGATGTCATGTAAACATGGGCAGAGAAGCTCTCAGGCAGTTTTGGCCATCAAAACACAAGCACAGATCTCGGTAGATGAGGGGATATGAAGAATTCGATGATCTCTCTAAATCATAGCGCAGTAATTTCCTTTCAAATGCTTCTAAGACACTCTTTGAGACGTACAATAAGAAATTCTGCCAGCGTTGTTCTTCATCAGCGAAAAAAAAAAAATTGCTCGACCTGCTCAACCTAATGGTACCTTCCATCTGTATTATTCAATTCAGTAAGTGCCAAGAAGCAGATTTTAGGAAGGCGAGAGTCTGAGTTGGGTGGATGATGTTTCCAAGCGAACGATATAATCAGGAGTGTTCCTTGGAAGAAAAAGTAAACGTTTAAAAAATCCTACCTGAGCTCGTTCCACTATATCAGTACACCGCAGACCCCAAACCCCAATGCCATATGACAATGATGATAATACAATCGATTCGTATAGTTTCATTCTGGATTCCCAGGAGTTAATTTTGGAGCGGATAACGGTACCGACTGACTGGACTGATTAGCTTTTTTTGTGGCCGATTTGCTCATTTCCAGAAAAAGTGCGGAGGATGAGAACTCTATACCTAGGTATGAGATTGTTTTCACAACTTCCAGAGGTTCATTGAATAAGTTGAACTTGTATTTATAATTGCTTTGGTAGCCGCCTTTGCAAAAAATCATAATTTTTGTTTTTTGTGTGTTTACTGTTAGTTTATTTCTTGTTGAGTATTCTTCTAAAGTTCGTAGCTTGCGCGACAAATCAATGGGAGAATCGCTCAAAATCATTAGGTCATCAGCATATAATAACATCATGATATCATTGATACTATCGATGTTAACGCCAGTATGATTTCTAGACAAGAAATATTCTTCTATGTCTGCAAGGAAGAAAGAAAATATAATAGGGCTTTAGCGTTCACCCTGCAAAACTACCTCTGTGATACCATATTTTTTACTGAAGTAATTTCTCACCTTCACGGTCATGGTGGCCTTATCATATAGATTTTTGATTATTCGAAATAATTTTGAGCTGACTCAACTCGTGATTTAGTGAGTCGAACGCTCTTTTGAAATCCACAAAAGCTGCATAAATTCTTCTACCTCTCAATCGCAAGTGAATTTGTAAGATAGAGTTGAGTATGAAGATGTTGTCAATATACCCTCTGCCTTTCCTGAATTCGGATTGAATTTCAGACAAAATTCCATTTTCATCACACCAAGATGACAGTCTATTGAGTAAAATAGAGGTAAACAGTTTTGCCGGTGTATTCATTAAAGCTATGCCCCTATAATTAGATGGATCATCTTTATCTCCTTTTTTATGCAACATTGTCAACACAGTTTCATGCCATCCGGAAGGGATCTCACGCTGTTTAAATTATTATTGAACAAGGTACACAAATAAAGAAGCCAGTTTTCAGGAAGACTTGATAAACTCATAAGGTATTCCATCATTTCCTGGTGCTTTGCCATTTTTATAGCAGTCCAAACAGATTCTTAGCTCATTGAAAGTTATTTCTGAGTCTAGGAATGGGTTACCTGCATCAAAAAAAGTCGTGTGCGATTGAATTTTTTGTACACGGAGACTATCATAAAAGTTTTCCCAACCTTCTACCGTAATAGGACATGGATTCTGAACATTCCTAAATGACTTTACTGTTTCACAGAAAGCTGCTTGATTCTTGGTGTTAATTAGTTTCGACATTATTTCTTTATCATAATTGATTTTTTTTTGTTTAATAATGTTCTTGTAATCTTTCTTTGCAGCTAGATAGTTATCCTTATGAGGCTCTAGAAAATTATTTTGTTTGCAAATGCTCAAAGATTTTTTACAGTGTTTTTTCGCAAATTTGCACTGAAGGTCGAACCAGGGTTTGTTTGCAGGTACACCTTCTTTGATGTTATGATAATTGTGAGACCAAAAATGATGAGTTCCTATTTGAATCATTGAGGGCGACAGTATCCGAAATTAACTGCCTACTAACTACCTAAATAGGTTGTCATCTAGAACGACAATGCACAAACGAACTGGGCTTATAACGTACCTGCTCCCCACTGTCCAACCTGACCGCAGCCACGCCCTCGATCATCGCAGTAGGCATCGCATCCCCCCGCCCGTGGGCGACCGGATGGGCGGACTCGCTCTCGGTGAGCTGGCCGATGCGCGGGATGTCGGGCAGCGTGGCCTTGAGAGTGCCCGGCTCGGCGGGCAGGGCGGGCCGCGACCCTTCCATCGCTGTTTCCCGTACGTCGTCGTGGCTAGTGGCGGACGACAGGCGAGGTTTCACCTTCCTGAAGACCAGAGTGTTCTATTGATTTCAGGTAGATAATACTTTATCGTTTGATGAACATTTTGAGTATATTCATAAGAAAATTTCGAAGAAATTATTCTTTTTCTCCAGAATTTCCAATAATCTTTCAATAGAGTCAAGAATCACAGTTTACAAGTCAATTGTTCAGCCACACTTTGACTACTGTTCATCTATCCTATATCTATTCAATCAGAATAAATTGTCTCAACTCCAAAAACTTCAGAATCGTAGTATGAGGATCATTTTGAAGTGCGGTAGAGATACTCTAATTACTATTATTCTTAATGTTTTGAATTGGCAATCTGTTTCTCAAAGACTGTCTTATTTCACAATGATATTCATATACGTATGATGCAAATGTATGGAATTAATTCATTTCAAAACAAGACGACTTTCGAAAAAAATACAAAAACTAGAGTTTAGAACTTTTTTTTCGATGTATTTTTTTAACTAGACGACCCTTCGATGTTCAATTCTCAGTAGCAGACCTCTGCAAGATCCAGGTAATCACATGATAATCCATTTTAATTTCAATCTTCTTATGCAACATTTTGACTGTTGAATAGACGATCAGTAGACCTTTCAATCAAAGTGTCACATGACCCCTATTTGTATTTGAAAAAATCGTCCATTACGTCTTTACTCCAACACCGGTGACGTAACATCTCTCATATGAATATCATGAGATGAGGCTTCAGAAATTAAAACTCACGTGTTTTTGGAATTTTTTCAAATGTCGCCCATTTCTGAAATAATGAATTCATTCCATACATTTGCATCATACTATATAAAATATTAAACAATTTAGGACCATATTATTTCAAACAGTACGTTGTCTTAGGGAGTGATTGAAACCACCAAAGTTTCCTGTAGGTTTAGTATGTACATTCAAATCTGAAAACACCCTGTATAGGAAAAATAGTGCCAGTATATCCGTGTTCAATTATTCATCTTACATTTTTTATACTATATATATTTTCCCCCCGTATAATTTCATTATCGTCATTAGTCATAGATACATCATTTGTTCAAAAATTAATCGGTTAGCAGGATGATTCATCCTTTTAGTCATTCATTCGAGACCAGGTGGTGAGTGAATCAAGACAGTCTTATATTAGATGTCATCACATACGGTCGAATTTTGTGATCGTAATTGAAAAATACGCGAAAGGAATTATTTATCGTTCCAAACGGAGTGTTCACTTGAACATGAGTGCAAGTGTAGTGTTTTTTTATACCTCATTTAATTCAGTGTTTCGTGTTGTTTCATCAAAGCTTCGCATTTTTCACGCTGGTGAGTGAATAGAGTTTCTTTGTTTTTCCTCATATTTTCCTGTTTATATTCAACTCAATTAGCTTATATGTTTTCAAAATAAGAAACGTCTGCTCGTTGAATACTTTCAAGATAATATAATTCGAAACGAGCAAACCAGAAGAAAATAAGAAGATTCGAAATTTTTTCATGGAAAAATACCTTTTCCCTATACAGGGTAATTCAGATTTTAATGTACATACTATACCTGTAGATAAGGGAAACTTTGGAACTTTGGTGATTCCAATCACTCCCTATCGATGTGTCTTCCATCTTTCATAATCAATATAATATACAGGGTATGTCACGACAAGCTTACACCATCTTTATATCGAGAATCAGTCGGGAGAAATCCATGAAAATGTGCATGCTTATATTTCAGAAAACGCTCTCTTCATTTGAAATATTTTCGACAATGAAGTGTTGCCGCTTCTACTAGTAAGTAGTAGCCACATTGATATTTCAAAAGAAATACCCTGTATTTTATCGCATTTTCAGATCTCACCTAAAGGTATGTTCATGCTTGTACGAATTCCGCAAAATTTATGCGAATCGCAAAATATGAAATTTCCGACAGAATGTGACGTTCATACTCATGCGGCAAAATATGCAGGTGATAAGGGTTGTGTTGTGATATTAATTTCTTTATTTCTGGTCCCACCATTGATAGAAGTTCATCAAATTGAAGGCACGTTACACGAAAGTAAAAATATTTATTAGGGTCTTTCAGTCGCATTTATATAACGAGTCCGTACCAATCTCCACCATTTTTCGGCATTTAAAAATGCTTCGAACAGTACAGCTCCTTTTTATGCTTCTGGATACATCATTAGTTCTATAGAGACGATACAGATGATACTTTAAAAATAATTCGTCCAGAGAATCCATCCTGTGAATAAAATTCAATCAAATGAAGGAATGATGAAATTTTTAATTATAATTATGTACTTACCTGTAGTCTAGTGTCTAGCCTCGTCTTTTTTCGACCTCTGCAGTCCGCTCTCTAATTCCCCAATTTTGATGTTATCAAAATAACAATACATTTTATGTGGTTATGATTACATCCGAATTCGCAAAAAAGTTCAAATATTTCAACTTCATTGCGATATTCGCAGTCGCCATTTTATTCGCATAAATTTTGCGGAATTCGTACAAGCATGAACATACCTTAAAGAGCTGATTTCATCAATATATCACACTTCGGGTCTATCAAAAATGATTACAGATATTCAAATTCGAGATTTTTCAACTTTAGGATTTTTTGTGTCGAAACTATTCATTATCGGTCAAAACGGCTCACATGTCCCTATCGACCCTATCTCAACTTTTGATTCACTATTTACTGATATTTAATCGGAACAGATACAGGGTTGTTCAAGATTCAGAATTCTAATCATCCTGTATCTGCATGTTCCGATTAAATATCAGTAAATAGTAAATTAAAAGTTGAGATAGGGACATGTGAGCCGTTTTGTATGATAATGAATAATTTCGACACGAAAAATCATAAAGTTGAAAAATCTCGAATTTGAACACCCCATATCTCTGTAATCATTTTTGATAGACCCCAAGTTTAATATACTGATGAAATCAGCTCTTTAGGCAGAATATAAATATGCGATGAAATACAGGGTATTCCATTTGAAATATCAATGTTGCTACTACTTTCTAGTAGAAGCGGCAACACTGCATTATCGAAAATATTTTACATGAAAAGAGCCTATTCTGAAATATCAGCATGCACATTTTCATGGATTTCTCCAGACTGATTCTCGATATAAATATAGTGTAAGCTCGTCGTGACATACCCTGTATATTATATTGATTATATAAGATCGAACAAAAGATGGAAGACACATCCATAAGAAATGATTGAAACCACCAAAGTTTCCTCTATCTACAGGTTTAGTATGTACCGGGTGCACCAATAAGAAAGGATGCCGGCTGTATCTCGGAAACTAAATATTTGCCGCACAGGTTTCGGAAAAAAATATTTATGATAAAAGTGGCCAAGAAAAATCTCTGGAAATTATTTTCAAGTTTCCAGGATAGCCCCTAGAGGGCGTAATTGCATTGGCCAGTTTAATACACGGGTTTTTATGTAAATTTGATGTATCAAGACATATCAAAAACAATTTTTTCATGTTCTCGAGTTGATTTCCAATCATTTCGATAAAAAAATTGCGCTAGCTCTTTGAATAAAAGAGAGGGAAGGATGAATATTACTTTGAAAAAACTCTCATTACTACAGTTTGGTGTAACGGAATTCAACGATCTTGGTCTCATTATGAAGGGTTTTTTGGTTCTTCCAGATGAATCACGAATCAAGTCGATTTAAATCCTGTGGTGGCCGCTAGATGGCATCGTTTGAAGAATCAGACTATTTTCCATTTTTTTCGAAAATTTCAAATGGAACTATATATTCATTCTACTCTAATATGAAAGTAGAGCAAACGAGATGAAAATGGTGAAAACCGCGAATTGATTCCTCTTGAAGAACCGGTGAAATCCTCGAAATAATATTATGGAAATATTCACCACAGGAATCTAACTTCAATGATCGTAATCAGAAATATCCTGTATCTATGAAATTATGATTTCAATAATTCATTTATTTTGGTTTCACAAACTGCTATTATGTCTCACAATAGCAATGGAGACTCTTAGTAATGACATAGCTAATTTGAATGAAAGAAACGTCAAAATATAATTGAAGTTCTATTGGAAGTTTTCACTGTTCATTGTGGATTGCTTATTTGTCAAAATGCCGATAAATTTTAATATTATTCCAAGTATTTCTCCGGTTCTTCAAGAGGTATGAACTCGCGGTTTTCACTATTTTGCTTCTCGTTCCATAGCAGAAAAAATATATGGTTCCATTCGAAATTCTCGAAAAAAAAATGGCGAATCGGCTGATTTTTCCAAACGATGCCATCTAGCGGCCACCACGAGATTCAAATCGACTTGATTCGTGATTTATCGGGAAGATCTGGAAAAACCCTTCATAATGAGACCAAGATCGCTTAATTCCGTTACACCAAACTGTAGTAATAAGAGTTTTTCCAGAGTACTATTCATCCTTCCCTCCCTCTTTTATTTAAAGAGCTAGCGCAATTTTTTTTGATCGAAATGATTGGAAATCAACTCGAGAACATGGAAAAAGTGTTTCTGATATGTCTTGATATATCAAATTTTCATAAAAACCCGTTTTTTGAGTTGGCCAATGCAATTATGCCCTCTAGCGGCTGTCCTGGAAGCTTGAAAATAATTTCCAGAGATTTTTCTTGGCCACTTTTATCATAAATATTTTTTTCCGAAACCTGTGCGGCAAATAGTTTCCGAGATACAGCCGGCGTCCTTTCTTAGTGGTACACCCGGTACATTCAAATCTGAAACACCCTGTATAGGAAAAATAGTGCCAGTATATCCGTGTTCAATTCTTCATCTTACATTTTTCATACTATATATATTTTCCCCCCGTATAATTTCATTATCGTCATTACTCATAGATAAATAATTTGTTCGGAAATTAATCGGTGAGCAGCATGATTCAACCTATTAGTCATTCATTCGAGACCAGATGGTGAGTGAATCAAGACAGTCTTATATTAGATGTCATCACATACGGTCGAATTTTGTGATCGCAATAGAAAAATACGCGAAAGGAA